GGGTTTCTGGGATCACAATTCCTGGGATTTGGGGTTTCTGGGATCACAATTCCTGGGATTTGGGGTTTTTGGGATCACAATTCCTGGGATTTGGGGTTTTTGGGATCGGAATTCCGGGATCTGGGGTTTTTGGGATCACAGTTCCTGGGATTTGGGGTTTCTGGGATCGCAATTCCGGGATTTGGGTTTTTGGGATCGGAATTCCGGGCTGGGGTGCTGAGGCTCGCTCCGCAGCGACGCTGGACGGGGGCCTGGGGCTGCTGCTGCCGATGCAGGAGAAAACCTACCGCAGGCTGCTGATGCTGCAGAACGCGCTCAGCTCCGCCCTGCCGCACCTGGCCGGGCTCAACCCGCGGGCATTCAGGTGAGGGCACACCTGGGGGCACCTGGGATATACCTGGGTACACCTGGGATACACCTGGGTACACCTGGGCACACCTGGGTACACCTGGGATACACCTGGGCACACCTGGGGTACACCTACACACACCTGGGATACACCTGGGCACACCTGGGCACACCTGGGATACACCTACACACACCTGGGCACACCTGGGATACACCTGGGTACACCTGTGATACACCTACACACACCTGGGCACACCTGGGATACACCTACACACACCTGAGCACACCTCAGCTCCGCCCTGCCACACCTGGCCGGGCTCAACCCGCGCGCCTTCAGGTGAGGGCACACCTGGGCACACCTGGGCACACCTGTGATACACCTGGGATACACCTACACACACCTGGGATACACCTACACACACCTGAGCACACCTCAGCTCCGCCCTGCCGCACCTGGCCGGGCTCAACCCGCGGGCATTCAGGTGAGGGCACACCTGGGGGCACCTGGGATACACCTACACACACCTGGGCACACCTGGGATACACCTGGGATACACCTGGGCACACCTGGGGTACACCTACACACACCTGGGATACACCTGGGCACACCTGGGGTACACCTACACACACCTGGGTACACCTGGGCACACCTGGGATACACCTACACACACCTGAGCACACCTCAGCTCCGCCCTGCCGCACCTGGCCGGGCTCAATCCAAGGGCCTTCAGGTGAGAGCACACCTGGGTACACCTGGGATACACCTGGGTACACCTGGGATACACCTGGGCACACCTGTGACACACCTCTGATACACCTGGGCATACTTGGGGTACACCTGGGCACACCGCGGGCATTTGGGTGCCATCACCTGCCCCACACCTGTCCTAGCACAGCCTCACACCTGTCACAGCCTCATCCCCCACCTGTCCCCATCCCACCTGTCCCATCTGTTCCCATCCCACCTGTCCCTATCTCACCTGTCCCAAATGTCCCTCACCTGTCCCACCTGTCCCATCTCCTACCTGTCCCATCTCACATCTGTCCCCCATCCCGTCTGTTCCTCACCTGTCCCACTGTCCCTCATCCGTCTCACCTGTCCCAGTGTCCCTCACCCATCTCACCTGTCCGCATCCCACCTGTCCCACCTGTCCGCATCCCACCTGTCCCACCTGTCCCTCACCTGTCCCAGTGTTCCTCACCCATCCCACCTGTCCCACCTGTCCGTATCCCACCTGTCCCACCTGTCCCTCACCTGTCCCGGTGTTCCTCACCCATCTCACCCATCCCACCTGTCCCACCTGTCCCCATCCCACCTGTCCCACCTGTCTCACCCATCTCACCTGTCCCACCTGTGTCACCTGTCCCACCTCTCCCCATTTCACCTGTCCCCATCTCACCTGTTCCCATCCCACCTGTCCCACCTGTCCCTCACCTGTCCCAGTGTTCCTCACCCATCCCACCTGTCCCACCTGTCCCTCACCTGTCCCAGTGTCCCTCACCCGTCCCACCTGTCCCACCTGTCCCTCACCTGTCGCACCTGCGCAGGCTGCTGCAGTCGGAGCGGCGCCTGCTGCAGAACGCCGTGCGGAACGTTCTGGACGGGGAGCTGCTGGCCAGGTTCCTCTACCTGAGCGCCATGGAGCGCGGCGAGCTGGCCAAGAAGATCGGCACCACACCTGACATCGTGAGTGCGCCAGGTGGGGGGCAGGTGCGGGGCTGGCCAGGTGCGGGGCTGGGCAGGGGCTGGGCAGGTGAGGGGCTGGGCAGGTGAGGGGAGGGGCAGGTGAGGGGCAGGTGAGGGGCTGGCACAGGTGAGGGGCAGGTGAGGAGCTGGGCAGGTGAGGGGCTGGCACAGGTGAGGTTGGGACAGGTGAATTTGGGACAGGTGAGGTGGGACAGGTGATGTTGGACAGGTGAGGTTGGGACAGGTGAGTTTGGGACAGGTGAGGTTGGACAGGTGAGGTTGGACAGGTGAGGTTGGGACAGGTGAATTTGGGACAGGTGAATTTGAGACAGGTGAGGTTGGACAGGTGAGTTTGGGACAGGTAAATTTGGGAGAGGTGAGGTTGGACAGGTGAGGTTGGGACAGGTGAGGTGGGACAGGTGAATTTGGGACAGGTGAATTTGGGACAGGTGAATTTGGGACAGGTGAGGTTGGACAGGTGAGGTTGGAACAGGTGAGGTGGGACAGGTGAGTTTGGGACAGGTGAGGTGGGACAGGTGAATTTGGGACAGGTGAGGTTGGACAGGTGAATTTTGGACAGGTAAATTTGGGACTGGTGAATTTGGACAGGTGAGGTTGGGACAGGTGAGGTTGGAACAGGTGAATTTGGGACAGGTGAGGTTGGACAGGTGAGGTTGGGACAGGTGAATTTGGGACAGGTGAGGTTGGACAGGTGAGGTTGGGACAGGTGAATTTGGGACAGGTGAGGTTGGACAGGTGAATTTTGGACAGGTGAATTTGGGACAGGTGAATTTGGGACAGGTGAGGTTGGACAGGTGAATTTTGGACAGGTGAATTTGGGACAGGTGAATTTGGGACAGGTGAGGTTGGGACAGGTGAATTTGGGACAGGTGAGGTTGGACAGGTGAATTTTGGACAGGTAAATTTGGGACTGGTGAATTTGGACAGGTGAGGTTGGACAGGTGAGGTTGGGACAGGT